CCCCGCCCCCGCTGCCGCCGCCGCCGCCGCCCCCGCCCACGCTGGTGCCCGCGGCGCTCAGCGACGTGCACGACGTCGTGGAGTAGCAGGAGGCGCGCGGCAGGCTATAGCGGCTGGCGCCCTGCAACGCAAGCGGTCACTCAAGTTCATCTCTGAAAAATTGCCATTCCCACCTGAAATAAGTAAATATAACTGAATATCAATAATAAAAAATGGAACAAATAAGAAATTAAATAAATACTATAAAACAAAAAATGAAAGAAATTAAATAAATGAAAGAAATCAAATATTTGAAAAATCAAATATATGAAAGAAATTATATAAATGAAAAAATCAATTAAATAAAAATTCAAATAAATAAATATTATTCAATCACTGAAACTTACTCACTGAAGACTATTTCCCAAGAACTCCGTTTGGGAAGGGTCGTAACATCCTAAATTATCATTCCGTAACTGTATAGACGAGTGGATCGGACATTCTAGCTTCGTGAGGCTAAGGCGGCTCCACACGCGGCATTCGGCGACACCCGAGCAACTGCTGACCGAATCCCAAGTAGTCTGGATGGGTTGCTTGCGATTCGCATCGAGCACATCATCTATTCGGGACTGGGTGAGCAGTAGCTCACTGCTCGGCGAATGCCGAATGGGTGGAGCTGCCTTTACCTGCATCTTTTGGTTTTGCCTATTTATGATATGGTAAGAGGAGCAATGATGAAACGAGAGAGGGGCTAGGAAAACCCCAAGAAAACCTCAACGCTCCGACCACCTCAAATGACACTTGCAAAAGAAATCTCAGCTTCCGTACGTACACTGCCGTGTTCTACTAGAACGCCACCGCACTGACCACATGTTATGTAGACCCTAGCGGACAGTATTTGTGGTAAACTCTCTGTCGATGTGATACACTGCACAGCTTTTGCGCACCTCGTACTTTATCAGGATGATTTCCATCGTTTCAGGTTAAGACCATAATACTAGATCTTATCCTCACAACTCGCGAGTGAACAAGATCACCAATAGATTGGCATCTGGATACACTGGAATGCAATGAGAAAATCTAACCATAGTCTGGGTGGAGATCATCTCGCCAATTGGAAGCTAATCACCTTACCATGTTGGTATTCCAGACATTTGACACCAATATCTTTGTGCCGGGACAAAAACTTTCGATGGGAGATACCATGACCCACCCCAAAAGGGCTGGTCGGTGTTACAACTTGCCGCAGCCCGCGACTTAATCGACGCCCCGATTTTTTTCATTCAAAGCATGTAAAATTGAATTTAATTCTGTTGCACAGATAGAAGAATTCTCTTCATTTATCCGAGCCCCCCCTTGAATTTAGTGTCTTAATGGGTTTTTCTCAGGGCGCCGCAGTCACCTGTTTGTGACACCGGGAAACTGGACCCCCCGGCGGGAGTTGCTTATTCCCTGCCATGGCGTTTACGTGTGACCGAGGCCAGGGCCAAGGCGAACGTCCGTTAGGAGGAAGAGTACCTGCGGGAGTCCTGCGCGACCCGGCCCGTTGGCGACGCCGCCGCACGCGCGCCCGGCGCCGCGTGGAGATGAGGTGTGGCCGGGCAGCGAACCCGCGACCGAGGCCCGCGCCCGCCCGCCGCCCCGCGCCGCGCAGCCGCCGCCACTTGCGCGCCACCTCCGCGCGCACCTCCCCGTTCAGGAAGCAGTCAGCACGGCCACGAAGAAGCCCTGCGGCCACACCACGCCACGCTCACACCTGGAAATGTTTCATTGTCGTTTTTCGGCACAACTGCTGTGAAAGTCCAGCCCTGAGTAAGACCACGACAGCGATGGTCGAAACGTCGGCAACTCAGCCTTCGACGCGGCGTCACCCGGACAGCCCAGATCACCCACACAACTGCTGTGGTCATTTATGTAGTGCATGTGTGTGTTTAGAGACGTAGAATAGGACACGTTCACGCTCCCGCTCCCATCTGGATGGATTGATTGATATTTTCGGGCAAGTCAACTGCCGTGGTTATGTGTAATGATGTAAGTGTGTGAATGAGTGAGGAGAGAGGATACAAAGTAGAGGAAGGAAAGATCGAGCGCGTTCTGTGGCCGTGGCTGTCTTCCAGACAGCGTTTGAATCCGACCTTGCTAGTGTCGAAAATACGTCACCGTCAGGACTGGAACCCCAGGACCTCCTGAACAGAAACAATGCAGCGGCAATACTTGCCCATTTAGCAGGTTTTATTGAAACACGGAATGGGAGAATGAATGAAAGAATGAACAAAAGAAAATAATTATGAATCAATCGATGAAAATGACTGAGGAATAATGGATGAAGGAATTATTGATTTAGTGAAGAATGAATGCACAATGAACGAAGAATAAAAACATAAATAGAGGGTGTAGTCAGGATGAGAGAGAATGATTGAAGGATTAATGAGCAAATGATTTTGTAAATCGAAAAATCATTCAGATCTAAATCCTGAAAAGACAGAAAAGAATGTTTTTTGAAAATCATATAGGCATCTGCTCCTAACAGAGATGGTACATTTTTAACACGTTGCACTCAACATTAGTATACTAAAAATGAAAGTATGAAATAAAATACATTATGCGAGTGACAATCGTTTGTGTTTTCAAACGATAGATGTTTTCCATTTTTTTATCCCTTTATTTGAAAATGAGAATCCCAGTGCACAGGTATTCGTGAACAGATATCTTAATTTGCCGATGATTATCTTAGAATCAAAATGAAATATTAGAATTTTGAGTTATTTTTCCCCTGATATTTGACAAATTAAGTTAGTTCAAGATAATGAAACGTCTTGGTTGTAAATGTTTTATAAACCTAATTAATAAATTTTAATACGTTTTATCATTAATGTGTATATTATTTTGGTATTAAAATACCGTATGATAGATTACTTTGTTTCATTAGGTAACACTTATTACCTCGACAATTATCTTATCTATTCCTCCTCTACTTACAACAATTTGGACCTAAAAACACACGATTAGTTGTTACAAAAAATAAGAAATTATGTGGATATTAGATGCCATTAATATCTTTTAATAATGGTAATTTTTTTGTGTTTCTAAATATGTGCAATAGATATAGTTACCTCTTATTAGAATGTTAAAACTGCAATAAAATGTATGCAATAAAAATGATTGTACAAAAATTCTCTTGTGCGATATAATGTCTTCTTGTTCGTCACAGTAAACATTCTATTCGTGATCCTAACTCTATTGCGCAGTGTTTATTCAGGAAAAAAACTCGAGGTAGAAGAAATGTGGAACGCTTGATGTCTTAAAGAAGTCACGCGATTTCTAACGCTTTGCTGCTCCGACTGAAGGTCAAAACAAAGCAGAATAATAAGTGAGTTCCCTACAGTAAGACATTTACATCATCTTGTTGTTTATTTGTTGAGAGAGGTTTAATTGAAGATTTTGACGAAACGTTAAAGCACACACAAAAGCGAATTAATGAAAGTGGTTTTACAGAATTGCAAATGTGTTTCACCTACAATTGCATTCCGTTGACTGTCATATGAATTTTTTAAAACAACTCCGTCAAATGCACAAAAATTGCTTGAGTTATTAATAAAGTTCCTATATATGGTTCTGCGGTTGTGTTAATATGCATCCAACTAATTTGAGAAGCATGCTCAAAAAGTCATCTTTCTTAAGGTAAATGCTACGAAATGAGTCGGAACGTTTGTGGGTTGTTCAGAACTTGCATTGAACCTTGAAGCGATTGCCTAACTTGCAGAAATGACGAAGCGCGCCCGCTTCCAGTATGTACGAGTATCACTATCTACAGAACTTCAGTCGTAATTAACTAAAATGAATATATCGCAGGTACACAAATATGAGTATAACGAGATTTTGAAGGAGTGGTTTTATTACTATTGGAGCCCTTTATTTTGCAAAACCGAAGGCAAAGTGTTTCATTAGGTGCACCGGTTATGATGTGAACTATTTTCTATCATTGTGAATTTTCTCTAGTAAAAATAATACTATGTTCTAAATACATTTTTTGTCTCAAAATAAAGATAAAAGACTATTTTTAAGATGTATCACTTTTCTTGTGCACCATTTTTTGACTTATCAAAACAAGATGATTATTGAGATGCGTTACTGTTAGCACCAACGACGATAACTTCTACACATATTTATCAATCAACACATTTTTTATTAGTAATCAATTTACTTTATCCTTTTTGTTCGTGTACATTATGAAACGGAGTTAAGTGTTGTAATAAGAGTTTCTAGATCACAAATTTAATAATAATTCAAGTGGAATAATACATGACCAACTTTTAACAGCAAAGATCAGCTTTATAATGTAAAAAATAACAGCAGTTGTGTTCTAATGGCCTCAGCATTAGCTACTTTCAGTATCCGTATGTCACCTTTGGATGGATGAATAGTCAAATTTAAACAAAAAATTATAGTGCATTGGAGTTTTTCCAAAGTTGATAAAACGATGCACATGTAGAATATTATTACTACTGTCATGTCGTTAATAAAAATTATAGGCAAAATGTTTCCTCAAAATTACTTCCTATATTTAGTCATAGTTGTTTCAAACGCTTTTGTTAATCGACTCCATTTTTGGTTTAACTTACTTAAGTGTAATGAATTGTTGCATTATTCACTTAAATGTAATGAATTATTGAGAGTTAAAATATAATTTTCATTTGAGTTTAATTTCAACCAAAGATTTGAACCAAATCTGGTCACTTTACAACAACACTTGGGAGCAAGCTTCATGTACCAACTCTCAGAAATAAAAAGATTCAATTACAAAGGGCTGCAACATCAGCTGGATAGAAAGGGAATTAACAATTGTGATGAAAATCCTGCCTAGGGTTTAGCCGCTTATCTGACTAGTCACAGCGCGCAGTCACATCAATATCAAACAAAACTTACATTCTCAACTCAACTGTCGGGCGGTAGAATATTTAGATGACAGTTGGCCATTTCTTTTCACCTGGTAAAATGTTCCAACAAAGTATGTATTCTAGATTCGGTAATTTGTAACTTGTGTATACGTAGACTTTATAATTTTCTGTGTCAAATACAATTCATGTTCTTATATCAAAATATAATTAATACATAATAACTGAAATATCATGTAAAATTTACTAATGGTCTAGTTTATATTATCATGTTATGTCTTGAACAAAACAAATTAATTAATTAATTAATTAATTATTTAATTTTATTATTTATTTATTTATTTATTTATTTATTTATTTATTTATTTATTTATTTATTTATTTATTTAAAGATAATTTCATGCTTTTCAAATGATGTTGTATGGATGGTCGTTGTTCCTCACCTGGAAAGACGCGAACAGCTGGTCACAGAACAGGTAAGCCAGCTCCACCCGTGAATCGTTACTGTACGAGAGCCCGATGAAGATGGTGTAATGCACTCCAAACAGCGGCACCAGCACCAGCGTGGACTTCGCCCAGCGCCTAATGAACAGTACTCAGGAGGTAAGTGAAGGCTTTCCTGGGAAAATGCACGTGAGAAATGCAAAAACAAGTTTTGCATTGCTCACAAACATTTGCTTTTTATACTCGTATTACTTATTTTAAATAGAAATGCAGTTATGTGTTTCTTAAGATTATTGGTTTGTTTTATGTAAATTGTTCAATTGAAAAACTGTACTCGAGATCGCGAAGGGAATAATCTAAGAGAAGTTTTGTAATAATTAGTATCTACTAAAGTACCTTGCGTTGCTGGGTATTTATTAATCGTAATCATCCTGCCTCATTTAGACCACCCTGTCCCTCCCCACTGAGCCATGTTCGGTACGATCATCGTTGTTATGGGCAGCTCCAAACATGCATTCATGCAAACACATGTTGCTTTCTTTCGCCAAACGGTCTGCAACAATGCTGACTTTGTTAATTGTCCTTATGCTTGAGTAACGTACTAAATATATACATGAATGTCAATCAACCATACGGACCGACAATCTTGAAACTATATAAATCTCTCGTGTATTTCAATTAAAATTATGTAAAATACTAAAATGGAAATTTATTTATAATATTATTGTCAATCGTGAATTACTGTTCTAATACTTGTTTACATTGTGTTTGCACCATTTAATTTTAATCCTGTATTGATTCTAGTATATCATGTATTGTTGCACTCGCTAATAACCTTGTCGTTCACGCGACTTTAAATATTTTTTTTAATGTTGACTTTCAATTTCTATGAACATAATGGAGCTTATGGAGTAAATAAAATGACATTTTTTAAAAATGTTATGGACTTTCCGGAACGTTATTTCGTTTTATTGAAAGTTAAATTTTCTCACGTTTGGGAGATATTTTCAGAAAACAGATATACTGCGCATCTAAATGTTGCTATAAGGGGAAGATTACACTTTGCATTGAAACTAAAAACGCTGTGTTCTTTAGAATTCTTCCAGAATATCTTAAAGAGAACCGGTGAAGGATTTTGCCAATCAACTTGTCGAGAGAAATCAAACAAGATATTTATCACCCTTGTAGATCACGCAAAACGCGTTTTCATTGCTTAAAAGAGAAGAAGAAAGCTCATTTTAGAAGAATTTCTGAGAATGTTCTCGGACACGCAAAAAAAAATTAAATATCACTTTCCCACTAGGAAACAGACGCGTCGAGTCACGATTGGTGGACCGGCAGGGGTCTGACTATGAGTGACGGACAGTCAGGCACACAGCCAGACAGGCTCATACACAGACGGGCACACTGACCAGACGGGCACACAGCCCAGACGGGCACACAGACAAGACGCGCAGACAGTCATATGGGCTTACAGACCAGGGCACCCAGACAGAGGGGCTCACAGACGGGTATACAGACAGACAGTAGACACAGACCAGACGGGTAGACAGTCGGACGGGCGCACAGACCAGAGGGGCCCACAGGCCAGACGGGTACACAGACAGAGGGGCTCACAGACGGGCAGACAGAGAGACAAACGAACAGACATACAGAGAGGCGCACAGACAGGCAGACAGACAGAGCAAACAGACAAACGGGCAGGCAGACGGACATTCAGACGGATAGACAGACAAATAGGCAGACGGGTAAACATACAATTGACGGGCTGACGCAGTTACTCGATTAAGTAATAAATAAGGAAGAATTATGTAGGTAGAAACTTGCCTGTAGCGTCGCGTTTCTTCGCAAACTGATGCCCGAAGCTTCAAGAAGAGAACTCGAACAATGTTGACAAAGAGCCCAAAACTCAGCTGAAATGGAGAAAAGTCAATTTCGTGACAGAAGTTTTAAAAAATTGAAAAGAAATAAGTGCAGTGTCATAATGTTATTGAGATTGAGAAACTCAGATATAATGGAAATGACATCTATTATTACAGCAAAATTACTTGAGATATCTCCTTGAATATATGTGTTTGAAAATTTATAGATTTCAGAAAAATGCATGAATTTTTTATTTTCATTTTCTCAATCATATGGTTGAAAAACTACCAAAAAATAGTTCATACAGGAGTCTTTGGACAAGGATGCAAGCAATCTATCCCTTACACTTTTTTGCTTTATGAATGAGGATATTAATCTTCTTTCGCAGTGTACTACACTGCTCCAGCAAATGTACGTTGTAGTTATTTTCAGGTCTGAAAAAATCCGAATTGTCTTTAATGAGTATGAAACTGGACATTATACCGAGATTCAATCCGATCGATCACAGGCACTCAATGTACTATTTGTGATGTGATTGTAGATTTGCCCATACCGGAGACAGGTAGTGGTCCACCTATCTATCCACTCGCTCGTCTGAATGTACTAGTTTCAGTGTAATATTGTTAACTGTTTAACACATACTTCCATGCGTGTTGTCCTTTTCACGGTAACAAGACAGTTGTCTCAGAAACCGTGTTTTTTTCGATATTAAAATAATGATCTACTTCTCGTACAGATGGTAATGAGCTGACGTCGCATTTTTATACCGTTGTTGAAAAATATATTTTCTACCTAATTTATTCGTTTTAGAGACTCGAAGTGACTGTTGTATTTCTAATGTAAGTTAAAAACAAATATCAAAATAAATCACTACCAGCGTGTTCTGTCCGGTAGAATTCATCAGGCGACGAATTTAATATTGTGGATCGTGTAGTGGCGGTCAGACTAGTTGAAGCGCCCTCCACTAGTTTAAGCTCGCTGGTTTCGAGAACAAGAAGACATCGGGAAGCAGTGAGGTGGAATCGCGAGGGCGTGGTCTCCCCCTCCCCCACCCCTTTACGGGTGTAGGGGCGCAGCGTTGATCAGCTGCGCGCGAGGCAGGCGCTGCGCGTTAGAGTTGTGATAGCCAAGCCGAGAGTTTCAATTGACGAATTTGTAATTGCAAAACGACCCTGCGCTTTGTAGTTTGGATCGATTACGATTATTAGTGACTAAGCTATTCTTCGATAGATCTCCTGGCATTTTGGTTAAACGGCTTTTGAACTTTGGTTAACGATTTTGGAACTGCGGAGAGCAGTGATAATAACTTGATTTTGTTTGTAATTAACATTTATTTGTTCCCGCTGTTTTCCTTCTTCACAACCCATCCTCAAAAATTCAAGTTTGAAGAAAACATAACTTATGCTTATAACAACACAAACTTTCAATGCGAATGAATCGAAGAAGTGAAATTAGTTTTGTCCAATTTCCATTAAAAAATTCACCACTTTTTTTTGAACTTAACACAATTGAAAGATTCGCTTCCAAAGTGACGTATCTCCATTTCCATTTTATTTTCTACTTTACATATCAATACATTCTTAGACTTCACTTATTAAATGATTAAAAATTGCATTTTTTCTACGTTAAAAATATTAAAATGGTTGAAACCGATCTTAAAACTATGAGGCTGAATGTGAATACTTTCCAATTTCCGAAAAATTGGGTTTCACACCAGTTAATAAGCTCTTCAATATGCTATGTTGTGTATGGTGTCATCTATTTTACTTCTCCTACGGAATAGAGAAAAGTTATGTAATAGTGTGCGGAAAACGGCGTATTTCGGAGAAAAAACGCTTTTACAGGATCCTGAGACAAAAAAGAAAGGACTAAATCAGTCGCTACATTTAGAAACAAAATTCTCTATCACATGCTGTAATCCTTGTTTTGTGGGACCTTGATACCGAAAAAATGGAATGACGCAAAAACGTCTTGTGTCTCTGTCGGTCTGTGGACAACGCTAGCGGCTAAAACGTTTTAAAGTGGTATGTTCGTGGCAGTCTCTACTCAAAACACTCGACCATTATACATTGACAGATTTACAATAGCTGCTTGTAATGTAAAGGAGAATTAAATAATTGTTTACTGATAAATTTAGTCTCTCGAATGACTATTTTTTATTTTCACAAATGTGCTACTTAATATGTGTTAGTCGGCTTCGGCGCCTGTTCTTTCTCCTTTCTGCATTGAATATTAGTCCACATTGTTTACATTGAAAGGGATGATCGTCAAACAGTTTGTGTGAGTGTGTGGTACAACTTTTAAGTTAAGCGGGTTTATCTCGTATCCAAAGAGAAACAGAGGTCAAAATTGCATGATTTGTACAGCATAACGCAAGGCCGAGAGTAAACCGAGAGCCTGCACTTCCAGTTGCGATGAATTTTGCAGCAGGTTTTTATCAATCAGTCATCAGAATACTTGGTAAGGTCCGTTATATTTATTACCGTCCGATTCTTAAAAAATGTACTACGTATTGAATACAATAAAAAAGTACTTTCACCGTATAAATTCTTCTAAAACTTAAAACAAATCTTTGCCCGCGAAAGTTTTCCCATAACAGCCTAGATTTAGATTTATTTAGTCAAAAAACAGTAAAAACTGTATGTGACGTATGGGGGAGAAGATCATCTGCGCACGTTTTCTTGAGTACTATACTAATATAATAAGTACTGTATTGTACTGTACTTTATTGAGCCTAAACTAATATAAACTTTCATTAAAAAATAGGCCAGAAAGGGTCAATTTGTTTCTTACAGTTTTGAAGAACACACATTTTGCTTTCATTTAGTACTTTTTTGGGAGTACTTTACAATCGTCGGTCTAATGAACATACTACTTTAACAGATTTTCTCCAAAATTGATATTTTCAATCAATCTGGCTGATATCGCGGTTCCTTGAATTAAAAACTGATATTTTAATTTTGGGGGTACTTTACATCAAGCCACTGGAACACATCAAATTTTCAAAAAAATGGCTCCATCGATTTTGATTAAATTTTGTTGTTGGATAGTGCAAAGAATGTTTAAGAGAATGATGTAGGTCTCCTGTTTGTTTAAAACTGACTTTTCGAAAATTGCTATAGTTCAAAACGTTTTCGGAGTCTTCCTACATCTAATAAAAATAGAGATTATTCCCTTAATAAAATCTGTTTCTTAAAGATAGGTTTTGAAATAAAGTCATGTACATTTTTTCGAAAATTTGAATACTTTTCGCATAATTTTGCGTGAAAATACGGGCGAAGAAGTTTGTGTTCTTTTCGCTCCACTAATTTCTAAATTACTATTTTGAGCAATCATTACTACCGCTGCCGCGACCGTGCAATCTGCTGTGGCCGCAGAAGCTCATTCGAAAGCAGCGAGAGCTCGCTCTTCTAAGGGAAACTAGTCTTTGGGCGACTGTGCCGTTACCCCGCATCTGCACTTCTTATACTTGTGCCATTAGAAGTTCGTCCGTGTGTCTGTGCTTCCCCGAAAAGGGTGTGCCAGGAAACCAAGTCTCTTCGAGGCCACGCGAATTTAGCTCGCAGGTTGGGCCGAAAATATAAGTAAACATTCCGTAGTTTCAATAGTTCAAGCAGTTATCACCTTCGTGAATTGTAATTCTTCATTCTTAGTCATCGTGCAAAGGGCAACAGGCAAAGGCCTCAAGGCCCACAACCAAAACATTTAATATGGATGCGGACCATATTTACGGTACTCAGGCTGTCTTCCCTGTATTGTTGTCGGGTGCTCTAAAAACGAGGGAGAGGGGCGGCAGGAATGGAACCATGCAAGTTATCTGGCCGCCCCATATAAAACGCTCATTAGCATGCTTTTGAATGTCTGAATTTACTAGTAAAAATATCTTAATTTGAATACAAGGGGTCTTTGATTAAAAGAGTTGGTAATTGGACCCAATTTTAATGTATTTGGAGTTTATTTGAATGAGTTGGTCTAATTTGAATCCGATTTGTATTAGGTCTTTATGAAATCATGTTTGAACCGAAATAAAACGTCCTTGTTCCGTATTTAAATTTTTTTCATCATGAAATTGAATATTATTAGTTACAGACAATATTGTGTTGCAAAACACTGTTTGTTTTATGCATGGAAATTATTCTATATTACACAATATTAAATTTGTTATTTTCTTATCTGTTTTTAGAAAACGTCTTGCCATATGCTAAGAAACAAATACTAAGCGGCAATACTTTCCCTATTAATACAAATGACAGTTCCATTACTTCGCTAATTGATTAGGAATAATTTACGAAAAGTTCTGGATTTGTTTCTAAAGCAATTTTTGCATTATTGAACTATGAAGAATTACTTAACTGTTTCTAATGTCAATTGAATATGTGTTTTTGAATATTGAATTTTTTGAAAATCAATTTGAGAAATAAAGTGTTTATTTTCATGACGAATTTACTATTAACGTATGACAAGTATTGAAATATATTCAATTTTAATTTGATTAAATTTATGCACTAATTTTCCTACACGTGTAATCTTGACTGGCCTTGAGGGCAGCGCTTTCAGCGTAGTTGCTCGTAGTAGTGTGATGCTTTGCTAACAGAGAGCGCAGAGGTCACTAAACCGACGTTTGGTGAATGCGGATGCTTTTGTAAGGAGCTTACAGACAGAAGTTAAGCACACTACTTTTGGTTGATACAATGTCGGTTTCCATTATTTGAGGCATGTTTCCTTGAAAGAAAAAAAACTACATTCAGACACGTACAATGTTTTATTTTTATGAAGGAATTTTTGCCAATCTTGCGCTCAACGACGAAGTCGTGAAAGCAGGGCCGGATTTATTGTGGTGGAGGACTCTCGGTAAAAAATTCGTGGGAACCCCTTTGCTGGGATCTCAGTAAACATAAATAACTATTTAAAACTAATTATATATTAATTTTTGGTAACTATATTACTTATGCATTTAACAGCCTTATAATTATTAATTTTTAGTAACCATATATTAAATGCATTTAAATAATTGTGTCAGAGGCACTTTCCTTGCTGCAAAATTGTCAATCACATCATCAAATATTATTTCTCTTTTAAAACCGTTATTGATTTTTAAATTAGTGAGGGATGGCGGATCAATTACTTTCGCAATCGTTTTTAACAATTTTTAATTTTGATATAGATCTTTCTGCAGTACAATTAGTTCTCTTGAAAATAAGATACATTTTCAAAATTATTTCTACATTAGGGAAATTATTCTGTGCTTGCCTTTATATTACCACATTTTTATTACTTGTCAAAATAAGCTACTTGAAGATAAAATAAAATAATATAAATATAGAATTAAAGCATAATTAAAGTACAAAAATATCATAATTTAGAAATGTTTCAAATACAATTAAAATTCTTGAATAAAAATGTGGTATTCAAATGACAAAAATATCTTAATTTGTTTTACATCGTATGACTTTTGTTAAAACCCACAATTTCCCCCCAATTTTTGATTTAGTGGAGGGCCCCTTGTTGGTGGAAGTCCCGGGGGTGCGGCCACCTTGTCCACACTTAAATCCGGCTCTGCGTGTCAGTTTCTACTTTCGAATGACAACGATACCTTGCTACGAGTATAATACAAGTGAAGAAATTTGATTTTCAACTTATGTTTCGTGTTATATGTTTTGCATGCATAATAACAAGCTATCAACTTATGACACTCTTATAACCAATTTCGTACATGGTTTTAGAAAATATTTTAAAACTTTTGAAAGCATGAATTTATAATGTTTTGTAAATGATTAATAATGTTCGCAAGTTAATTCATTTACTTTACCTAAAATATGCATTTTTAACAAAAGCTTACAATCAGGCATTTATTCTGGCTAAAATAAAAGTGTAAAAGGATATTTAAACAATGCAAAATGACCATTTAAAACGAATGATTGTTAAAAATTAATAATTAAAATGATTTAAATTTTTATTTTAACTCTAAAACTTACATTAGCACTAACAAGGAAGGAAAATCTCTTTTTTTTTGTAATCTTAACTGCAAATGACCACCCGGTATGATGACTAATTATATATTTTCCTCGCGACGCTATTTCTACGAAATACTATTGTGGAGTCCCGTTTGCATTTCTAAATCGCATCAGTGAAAACGGAATTGTAGGTTTCGTTCTTCACACTTTTGTGATCTCCAGCACAGAGAAGTGTACATCATATACATAGAACTCTGTTCTCAAAAGGAATTGGAGGCCATACACAAATAGAGGAAGGGATTCCTCGTGATCCAGACGGCATCAAGGCAAAAAAATCTTGACAGGTATCAACTTGCTTCCTCATATGCATTTTTAACTTCCCCTGAGTTCATAGATCAGGTGTTAAAAAAGTCCTGAAGAAAATATGAATTAACCTAGTATAGGAGATTAGCAAAGTAGTGAAATTCAAGATATAGTGTTAAATATGTCCTGTAACCAACTCTCCATGACTCAAGGGCGCGAGGTTGAGCTGCCAGCGGGTACGTACAATGATGGAGGCGACGATGGGGACGCGCACTAGCAGAAAGAGCTGCGGGCGGCGGTACACCGTCCAGCACACGAAGTCGTCCAGCAGCAGGCGGCACACCACCCACGCCAGCACGAACACCGCAGGCAGCCCTGCACACACCACGCCCGTTGCCTGCCCTGCTCACTTGGCATGGCTTTTTGGCCTCCCTCTCTTTGTCATACGTCTTTTTTTTTAACGCTGAAGAATAGCTCAATAGTTGAATATAGAAGTTCAAAAGCCCACAATTTCCATTACTAATTTAAAACTGAGGATGGCTTCCCCACTACATACCGTGTGATGTGTCACACTGAGTGTGGACATTTCGCAAGGCGTACACACGCCTTCAGTCCCTCGCCTTTTCTCTTACCCTCTCCCCTTGAGACCTTAGCTTCTGCCTTGATGATGTCTTTTGTCTTTAAGCTTTCGCCCTTTCCATGGGATCTTGTATTTTATGCCTTTTACTATGCTAACTCCCCCTTATGCCTTTCTATAGCAATGATTGCTTGTATCCTTCGTCGTATATTCTTGGCTGGGTGACTTTCCCTCACTTTTGCATTCCTTTCGAGAAGACTAGTTATCTGACACATGTAGGATATTGTACAGGAATTTGATAAAAACCCACATGCAATAGATTATTTTATAGACATACTAAGAATTATCATGTACTCTCAATTCATAGTAATCAGGGACAACGTTACGTGTAGTCATGACTGTGAAATGAATACACAGAACCCAAATATTCTAGTCCAGGTGTCCCTTACTGTTTGAAAGTTAAGATGTTAAATGAAAAACATTTCTGGCTTGGTTTACCATGAAGGTTACCAAGGCCTTGCCAAATGTCCACACTCAGTGTGACACGTTACACGCTATGTAGTGGGGAAGCCATCCTTAGTTTTAAATTAGCGATGGCAATTGTGGGCTTTTCAACTTCTATCTTCATCTTTACTAGTAAATACACGAAGAAAGGGGGTCGAAATCATTCATGTTTGTATTATGGAGTAACATGCATTGGACATATTCTGTTGTCCGGACCTGTTATTTGTTAATCCCTGAAGACGAAATCCAAATCCTCAACGTGGAGTTGAAAATATGCGAGCGGAGCAAGTTAGATTAGTCTATCAAATTGGAGATTTTTTGTTTTTTAATCGATCTTGGTCCAAACCACTTTTTGAATCACCACCCATTGAAAAGGATATTTCACACGTTGTCCATTTTTGCATTCGCTTCAGCTATTTGTTGGAAAAACTTCCCTTGCGCCGTACGCATTTAGTTTTGCATTTATTGTTGCATGATCCTTCAAAGCACATTTAGATTTACGTCATTTTCATCTCACGCTTCGCCATGAACCGTGCTCTCCCTATCTAATCTCTCTCTCTCTCTCTCTCTCTCTCTCTCTCTCTCTCTCTCTCTCTCTCACACACACACGCACAATCCAACTTTCTAACTTGCCTGATACACGCCGTTTCTTAACATCTAATAACCTAAATGAGATTCATGTAGTGCACTAGAAAGATGCTGATTAATGTTATGAAGATAATCACTTTCGTTTTATGCAATGCAAAGTGTTGATACAATTAGATATATGTCTTAGTTTTTTTTAAATTTTGTACTGCATATTTTAAACAATTCTTTCCAAATCAACGTATTCTAAAGTATAATTACATGCCTATTACAGATCTTAAACATTAAATGAATAACCTTTTTGGAAATTATCAAACCTTTTAATATTAAAAAGTATTTTATGTAGTAACAGAGCACGTACATTTTGTAGTAAGATAGCATAACACTACTTGCCCCATCCAAGTGTGACGTAGAGAGTGATGGCACTTGTGTCTGAGAAGAGAGCCAGGAAGATGAGGTTGTGCAGATATAGGCCCTCCATCAGAATCCACGAATAGTTCGCCATGATGAAGTACTCCCACATACTTGTGATTAGTTTGCACTCCCAGTTTTCCTGAAAATGAATGACACCTATTAACTTTAGTTGAAATGCTTCTGGATGAAATTATTGTGGTGAAAATTTCAGATTCCTTCTCATAAATAAAATTTTAATTTTCAAATTATTTCTAAAAACAATATCAACAAAGTATATCAAACGCAAATATTTGCAGACATTGGCGCCTTCATAAATTTTGTACGTGAAATTGGGTTAGTGTTAAAAAATAAATTATTAATAAAACTATTACATATTAACATTTCAGAATGCACCACTTAATTTCTGTTAATTCAAAATCTGCTTTACCCCTTAAATTGTGTAAACGCGATTTGATAATGCACATAAATATTATTAATTATTCTACACGCGTTTTACTATTCAAAAACTAGTGACGGAATAAACTCTCTTTCACAAAGCATTAATTATATTTAAGTTTTGTTCAGTAAATGTCCTTTCAGATGATAGATTAAAACTAGTTTCTAGTAATGGGTGTCTTTAGAATTCTATCAAATGTTTCGGAGATTTAACTGTTGAGTCGATCATGGAAGGCCTTGAGACGGTCTCTCAACAAGTTAAGTAAACCCTTGAGTGTGCTCGTCTCTAGAGGCTCTTGGCAAGACACGAAGTGCCGCACACTGCATCCCCAATCGTTTGAATCACCAAACAGGAAATTTTCATGATCTGAATACCAACTACCTTTCGTTTTGTTTTTATTAACTTTTTCTGTATTGTTGAACCTCCTCTGCGGTATTAAATTACCACATTGATGATGTACTTCAGGAATGTTAATCTAATGAATATATTTCGAAGATATGTGTTTGTGCATATACATTTAAGCACGTATATATGGTTTTCCACACACTTGCAAATGTCTCAAAAGGAATTTACATGTGATATAGAATTGTGGATAGACACGGATAAATTTCAATGGCAATGGGAACTGTGTGCTTTGAGGCGATGAAGAAGACTTGGTTCATAGCCTTTTTGCTGTTCCACTGAAATATGGAGAGGAAAGTGGATGAATTAGAGAACTATATTTGATGATATATAATCGTAATTATTTGCGTAGGGTATATACTTATCGAATGACCTGCGACCGCCCGCCCATCTTTCCGACCGTATAGCGGCAGTCGGTCTGTCAGTCTTCCCGGCTGTCCGTCTGTCTAACCGTCACTCACAGTTGGACCCATTCCGGCCCACCAATCCAGACAAATTAGGAGTTATTTGACGCGCCTCGTTCTCGTAGTGGGGGACTGATTATGTTTCTGACGATTCATCCAGAAAATTCTCCAACATTAACGAAATGTGTCTAAAATCGAGTTTTTTAAGAAACTAAAGCACGTTTTTTTGGCTCCATGTGATTCATCAATAGCTCTTTTGATTTTTCTCAACTACACAGACTGATTGACACATTTATTAGCCCTTAACGACTCGGGTGTCACGATCGCACTGGGAATGTGTTCGGTAGATGGCAATGAGTTATCGTTTTTTCCAATAAACAGATTAATTAAAATTGATTTCATATTTACTACAAATGGATGACTATAGGCAATAAGCACATGTAAGACTTGAAAATAAAGTTGTTAATTCAGTGCTGATTTCTTTCGGTAGCTCACAGCGGGATTTGAAAGCGGTTCGGTGGCTCAGAAGGATCTTAACTTTAGCGACCACTGCTCTAGGATATTGGGGACGAATTCTAAAAAAACACGCTTGTTTGATGGTTTCAATGCATCTAGGAGAACATTGGTGAAACGCTGAGGATTACTATGCTCTCTTTCCGGTATGAACATGAGTCGTTACGACTTTATTCATCAGATTGTCGGTAATTAAATCTGATTTTGTGACGAATTTTGAAAAAAATACATTTTGGTGGGAGGTTAGCACCTAAAACGCATTTTGGGGTGTTTTAAATCCCCCTACGGAGGTGATAACATTCAATTACTTTCAATGAGATCTATTGGCACTATCTTAAGTCAGATATTTTTTCAATATTTTGGAAAAATTCTAGAAGAAACAAGTTTTCGTGTGTAAGGCTGCAACGCTGTCGCTGATGAAACGCCGTTAATTACAATACTGCCTTTTTGGAGAACGTGAATTCTTAGGACATTATATTGACGATAGTTGTTCATTATATTGGCGATGGTTAAACTCATTAATTTAATGAACAAGATTTTTTAAAGTAATTGTAACAATTAATTTTCTTGAAACTTTCTGTTTTTGAGGATAGACGAGCCAGGTAACTTCATTGTTAAAAGTTCTCTTTTAAATGTGAACTTGCGTGGCAAACACAAAGTGTCAACATAAAAATTCCCGCCATCGGAGTCGGCAGGCTAAGCTAGTTAAGAGAAAACTGGTCTCTCTTTACGAAAAAAATAGGAAAAGCACACCAAGAGTCTACTTTAGCACCCCCTACAAAGACCTTATTAACCATTCGGCCAGCATAGTGAACACGGACGTGGAAAGTTGACGCGTAACCTCAGCTGTCATGCATCTATTCGGATATAGAGAGATTATTTTATGAGACCGTTTAGACAGCTTCTGCTTGGCTACTGCTGGTAACATAACTGCAATTTGTCAATGCGTCCGTTTACAGTTAGCTCATTTGTAAATGGATTCATATCTATGTCTTCGCCGTGCATGACCTTCATTCATTTCCCGACCTGTCAAAGCGGTGCCTCCTTAGAGTAGCGTCTCTATGCCTTCGCACCTACTTCCTGCAGCACCCACCTCTCCAGAGAGCGCGAAGCGGCGGAAGCGAAGCCGGCGCACGTGCTAATCAGTGTGCGTGAGCCCCTTCGGAAGTCCTCGAGCAGCCACCGCGCGACGCGGCCGCGCAGGCGGCGGGCACGTGCTAATCAGCGATTGCGCCGGCGTACGTACCTCGAACTCGCTGCCAAACATGTCTCCGTCGGGCGTGTTCGTCACGTCGGAGGGCAGGCCGAGGCCCTGCACGAACAGCGAGTGCTTGAGCAGCGCCATGAAGGCGCGCATGATGAACGACAGGAACAGGTGCATGTGCAGCGTGTTGCGCGGGCAGCGCAGCTTCCTGAAGAAAAAGAAAAACACAAACATTACCCAAGAACAGGACAATACTTGTATCGAATAATTCAAATGATCACGTAGAAGACCATTCGAATAATTTCCATTCAAATAATTTGAATGGAAAAGCAATACTTATTGTAATATTGGAATTAGCTCGTCTTACAATAAAGTATTTTTACAATCTTGAAAGTAATGAATCTCACAAATGATTTATATATAGCCAATTGGCATAACTATTTTTTTCATTAGTCTCCTCTTTTTATTCGCAACAGTTTCGGGAATGGTGGGGACAATATATCGTAAACTGTTGCGAATAAAATAACGAGACACGGGAAATAAAGATTTGTTTACGTCAATTGTCTGTCTAGAAATTATTTATTTGAGTTTTACCAGCGACATTGAATTGTACAGTACAAGATAGAACAACACACTTAGTATAAAAAGTCTATCGACAATTATTAAGTTTCTAATTACAGTTTTTTTGTCCAGAATATTGTAAACAGTCAGTTTTTATAAACATTGAAAACAGGGACACATCAACAAGACAACATAATGTAGAATAAACAATTTTATTAAATTATTCTATTAATTCTTAATGTTTTTCATCTCTAAATTTCGAGGACGTTTCATTTAATATTACAAGGAGTTTGGTTTATCTTCCATTTACAGTAACTCCTGAAGAAAGGAAGTAACTCTAAATGAAAGATTAGATGTTTTTCAGTTTCTTACTAACTACTAGTTTAATAACGTATTCACTTGTATCTGCCTGTTCAAACATGTACTAGACTGTAAATGTAACTTTGTCAGTAAGGTTAAATCAAATAATTAATTGTGAAGTGAGACACCTAGAAATATAATGTGTCCCTGGAAGAAGTAATTTATTTTCCAACAGTGAAAAACAGTCTCTGAGGGGAATTTTACCGGTCATTATTTACGTCAATTCTCCTACCTTAAGGGAGGTACGGAAACAGTTAAATGTGCTGTTTGACTAAATAAGTAAAACCAGAGGCACAATAACAATTTAAATCGAATACTTAGAGCAGTAAAATAATTCTTAATCACTTGGAACTTTCGCCATTGTTATTAATATATATCCGATTCAGCATTGTGTGAGAAACTACAATAATTATATAGTATTTAATATTTAACACGTTTTATAGAGAGTGAGATCAATGAAACGTAGTTGAAAGAACCTGTTTATTTTTTAGGTGGCCTTAATACCACTTGAATTACGATATCAGTGAAATCGAGTTCAATGATATTCTTCTGTTCTATTTGCCTTCAAAGACAATTTACGAGCTTCAACCTCTTACCAAAATTTGTTTCAGAAGTTTTGAAATTATTTGAAATGAACATGGTTTACTGTTTAGACACCATCAAAGGAGATAATGTTTAAAAACTAAACTTTCGTGATGTAACCGAGTCTAGCTGGTAAAATTACATGATTCAAAGAAACATCAGAACTTATTGAAGAGTCAGAGCGATCTACCCTTCGGATACCTTTGTTTTCTCTAATAAGGAGTGTGCCATCAGTAAAGCAAACGAAATCACAGCTCCAAAACCAAACTGCAATGAACAAAAACACCACGTCCTCTAAGCTTGATTTTCATGATTAAACATCAAACGCCGCAATACGTTTGAACTCAAACCACACGTTTCTCTACCTAAAGCTAAAGCTACCAGTCACAGGTTACCATCGATTTCTCCTTTTTCACCTGATGCTTCGGACTGAAATGTTTTTAGCCACAGATTTTAGGCACAGGGGAACACTGATGAGAGTCAGCAAAGCGGGAATACCTTACGAAGTCAAGTAGTTTATACAAATAATAATTCATCTAAAAAACATGAAATTCGTGCAAAACGTTTTCTCAAACATGTATTTAACGACATATTGTGACGTCATGGATACTCACAGCGACCACAGACACAG